AATCTTCACAACGTTAATTTCTTTTCGCGTTATCATTTCAATTACATTAATACATAATCGTTCAATTTAATTCATACCTAAATATAAAATATAAGGAACGATTATAATAGCGAAAATGATGAAAATGATGATCTATGATTTCGAACCATCCCTTAATCATTCGAATCTCATTCATGAAAAAAAAAAAAAAAAAAATCTAAGAGTCCACGTGCTCCCTTTCAACGATACCTTCGAGAAACAAACTCCGCGGAAGGCTCTGTCCCGTGAAAGACTGTTCCGGAGGAGCACGATCTTCGCTGCACCCTCTGAAATGAAAACGTGAATGCCTCGGTCGTATAATAATCCGTCACGAGCGATGAATTATTATTCCCGCGCAACGTTTCCGATTCCGCGGATGAATTTTTCAGCGCGACGCGACCGCAGACTTTATCCACCGCGTATCGCCACGTTCTCTCCAAGCCCCGTCGTACACGCGACGCCATTATCCGGGACAAGTATGTGGCCCGTGTACGTATCCATTACCGCATAAATACACGGCCGTCTCCACGGTTCACCACGATGTAATTACAGACGCAGCGGGTCGCATCTGTGAGAGAGAGAAATTTTTTATCCAGCATATTATTTCATCCATTCCAACTTCTCCAACGATTTCTTGCCGAAAGAATTTTCTAAACATCTTTAAAAACATCGTACGATCGAATTTGAAGTGTGTAATTGGAAAATTCTTTCTCTCTCTCTCTCTCTTCAATCAAAGTAAGTATCGTGCGATTACTTGCTCGAGAAAAATCAGTTCTGATGATGTCTAATGGGTTTTTTTTTTTTTGTTTGTCTATTATTTTTAATTAAAGCAGGAAATGATCGGTGCAAAATTGTACGAGATCATCGATTCAAAGATGTTCATCAATATCTGCAAGTATCGAAGTAATTAGCGCAGAAGATTGAAGGAGATACGCGGGGGTAATAATGGAACCACGTTGAGCTTGTCGCGGCGTAATGGCGTCCGGTCGAAACTTCGCAAAACGACAACGCGGTTAACAACTTGAATGGAAGGAGAAATCGTAGTAAACTTACGATGGTGTCCCGTTCCAGTGAAAAATGTTAAACGGTTCGATTAACTAGTCTCGTGTTCGTTCTCGAGATATATAAACTATCGATCGAAACTTAAAGTTTCCTTCCTCCCAATAGTTTCAAAATTAAATTTCACGAGAGGATAAAGATATTTCCTAAACAATTCCAATTCTTTCTCGAATTGGATGCTGGACCTGATCCAACCCGCAGATATAATAATAAAAATAAATTCTCGAATTTCCTGCGCACGAGCAACACGTTTCACGTGTCCATTGTCACGTTGCACGACGTGATCGATACACTATCCCGAAGGAACGCAGCCCTGGCGGATATTAGTTCCGGATTTTATTATCGGTCGGAAGTAGCCGGCTCGAGCCGCGTCGGGAATTCGATAAGACGGAAGGCGGTTGGTAAGCGATACAGAAATACGAGGGGGACGTGAGACACCTCGTAGGTGAACGGGTATGCGCGACGACACAGGTCACGTAGTGGCCGCCAGCTAAGCAATCGATTACGAAACGGAGTTAAAAGTAATTGCTTTACAGTTCTTCAGAGCTCGGCCGGAAATCGCCCTTTTCATCCCCGAGCGGAATCGTTCGGTCTTCTTCTTGCGTCGATCTTACGAGATCTTGATCTTTTAGGGGGCGATGATGATTATTATTATTATATTATATTATATACATTCTGAATTAATCGTTCGAATTTTATTCTACGTATAATGTTTTCTATAATTTTTTCTAGCTATTTAAAATGATTTTAAGAAGAAGAATTGGATGATCTTCGGAAACTTTTTTGTATAAATGAGTGAGAATTAGAAGATTTTAAATTTTACAAGCGACCATTTGTATGTACAAATAATTTGGAATAATGAAATTAGAAAAATTGCAAGGGAATTTTTTCTAGCTGTTTAAAATGATTTTAAAAAGAAGAATTGGATGATCTTTGGAAACTTTTTCGTATAAATCGTGAAAATTAGAAGATTTTAAATTTTACAAGCGGCCATTTGTATGTATAAATAATTTGGGATAATGAAATTAGAAAAATTGCATAGAATTACGAGGAGGAAAATTGCAGGGGAAATTGAATTATTCAATTTGAATTCAAGGAGGAAATTGGTTGATTAGAAGTTCTAAGAGGATGATTACGGGAGGGGTGAGTTTTCTTCATTCTTTCACGGATCTTTCCTTCAAGAATTTTAATGAAAGTTAGTCTCACAACGATGGAAGATTATTCCCTTTTGATGTTCCACCATTGAATTTTATTCCCCTGATTAAAAATCTCCCGTTTTCCCAAGCCTGATGTAAAATGCAACGCTCTATGTTTCTTTCGTCATCGATCCATCATTCGATCCTCTCTCCCTTCCCTCCAAAGAAAGAGTTCCTTCCTTCCTTCGAGAAGAAACTCGATTAATAAAACTGAGAATGAAACAAGAGGAACGAGTATCCGCGACTTGTAAGCGATCAGATTCATCAACCGGTTTAGTAATTCGAACCATGTTTGCAGAAACGTGGATTTTTACACAACGCTTTCTTCCCAAAACGGGCGCACACTCCAACTCGAAAAAGGATACGTACGCGGACGATTCATTATTCGACTGTCCTCGATCTCCGCCATTTTTCACTATTCGTCTTTTTCTGCCCGGTATCGATCGACTTTTTTCTCGATTTTTCTTTCCTTCTCTCTTTTTCTCTTGAATTTTTCAGAGAGGACACATTCCTCCGTCGATTCGATTTAACGCCTGTTCAATCGAGCTCGTTAATCGTATTGCAAGTATAATATATGTATATGTAGCGTTAATAGAATGGATGTAATTTGTTTGAGCGCGATGGATCCGATTAACGTCGTAGTAACTCGATTTCCCAACCCCTTTTTTGCCGTTTGTTTAAGTTTTCACGATGTTACCTCGCCATCGGTGAAATTGAATTTCACGCCTGTTCTTTTCACCTTGTCTTTTGTGCAGACAAGCATGGAAATGTCATTTCCTTCTCTTGCTACGTGCTCTTTCAACAAGAAGAAGAAATTCCGGATTGTCCGATGAATTGGATAAGAGGAAGATGATTTGTAGGTAGACTATGTTATTTTTAAAAACATAATAATGGAAATCTTAAGAGGATTTCGTTATTATTAGTCCTTGAAATTATTTTTTTCGTTTCTCGAACGATTCTTTCCAAAAAAATCTACATTTCGTCGTCCTCCAAATGTGCCACGTATATCCTCAACCCCTAACAAGATTTCTTCATAGAGAACGGTCTCAGAAAAGACCATGATACAATTTTTTATTTTCTCAAAGAAACCTAAGAATAATTCTAAAATCCTTTCGACCTCCTAAGTAAAAACTTCCTGAAGATAATTTTCTTTTATCGAATCGAATTCAGTTGCAAAATGCATTCTTTTTCTTCGATTAATTTTTCTGCTCCCCCCCTCGTTCCAAAACATCTTCACAATTTCATTCGTATACACGAAAATTCGAATCTCTCTCATACAACCTCGTTCAAACACGCTCGAAACAAAAAGCCGATCGATCAAATCGACACTTTTCGAGACCTTCTTCCAAAAAGATCCAAATCACAATTAGAACGAAGCGAAGCTTTGAAAAAACACGAGAAATGGAGGCGCGAGAAATTCAAAGAGCGAGTCGAAAAAAGGCGAAACCAAATCCGCCAACGGTGGACAATCAATCGTGGTCCCTTGTTCGATAACCCCTTTAAATATCGATCAGCGTCGAAACAACGTTTTGCCCGCCGATTCTCGAAATTGCCTCGAAATCCTCTCCTCCCCCTCCTCGCCTCGTAATTTACGCCCGGGCATCGTTTATTTTCGCCGAGGCTCGCGCCCCGCCGATCTCCATTTCCATTTTAAATCGAAACCCGCCCTTCAAATTTCGAGAGCGAGACGACCCGCTCGCTCGTCCACCCACCCTGCAACATTTTCGAAACGCGCGACCAGAATGAAAATGGATCCCGTGAGAATCTTTTTCTTCTTCTTCCTCCTTCTCCTTTTCCTTCGAGAGATCTTCGACCGTTTGGTTTTTGAATAGGATTATTATCGAGGGTGATGACACGTTTGAAATCGAATCTAGATAAAACGTGGCGATAGATCTTTGTCTTAAAATGCATACAGGTTAAAATGCATTATTGTGAAAGAATTATTCGAATAATTAAATTTCGAATTAGGTTTCGATTATGTGCCGTGATCGCAGATTGTATGGTGGAAGTTGTTTCTTTTTTGAACGAATAAAAATTGATGAACGATCGACTTCGTTCGAATTTTGGAATTGCAATCTGTGAGAAGAATCTTCGTTATTTGTTGGGACAATTATATTGCGTGTGCTTCTTTAAGAAGAGAAATAGGTGACACATTCAAAAGGTTGGTGCGTGAAGAAGTGTGAAACGGTATTATATATTTCCCTTAAATATGAAAATATATTCGTATATACCGAGAAGAAGATTTCGAGAAGAGGAAAATATATAAGAAGGAGAACGTAACGAGGAGGTATGTTCCGTTTGAGTATACTTTCGAGGTATGGTAGCTTCAGGCTACACGGGTATTTACTTGCTCTTAAAGAGCGTGTTAAAAGATAGGGAGGTATCGTGGAACAAGCGAAAGACACAATTTCGTAACTTTTAACGAGTCCAAGAATATTCATAATTAACATCAAAGAACGATCCTTCAAACGAGCGAAGATGTACAAGATGATTAATTAAATGTAAACTTCGCCCCTTCTCCAAGGTGAAACTTATTCGCTGCTTGTCGGAAGAGAAACGGAGTAACATCAATGACTGAAATAACGAATACCCCGGCTCTACCCCTTCTTAAGAAAACAATTCAGAAAAACGAATTATATATAAAAAAAAAATAAATAAATAAATAAATAAACTAACCATCAACGAAAAATCTCCAACTAACGAAACACGTTGCGTTTCTCGTTTCAGGTTGACCTACCACGCCAACACGCCACACCGCATACCCCACATTGTGAGTACACAGGTTGAGAATCGTAACGTTTAATTAACTGAAACCAGCCTCCCGTTGCACGAGCGTAAAATAGTTCCCGGCGTGGAGAATTCGACGGAAGAAGTTTTCATCTTGCAACGGGTGTGCAACACTTTCCTAATTTTTAATATCCATCCGTTTAATCCGCCTGGTCCCTCGAAACCTGCTCAAAGATTGCCTCCTCTCTCTCTCTCTC